CTTGGGATTTTTACTACATCACCATGTAAAATGTTGACAGGAATTGAGATCTGTTTGTTGGTAGTGACTTTTGCAATGAAATGAGAGTCTATTATTACATGTTAGTTTTGCATATTAAATTTAGGGGTTGCCTACATGGCAAGCCAGGGTATGAAACTACAGTGCACCTGTTTGCCTTGCCATGAATTCCTGGGAGGACTCTGCTACAGCACAATGGAAGTTCCAGAATGAGGCTCAGCGTACAATTGCTACTTCAAAGCAGCAGTGTTAAACCATTCTCTAGGACTTTCGCCTCACTGTATCAGCAGCCACATGGGATGTTACTATGCAGCAGGCTGCTGTTCTATAATTTCACACTCTGGCTTGTCATGCAATACCTTGTCTTGTAAACAAGTCTTAGAAATGAAGTAATATTTGGCAGGAAATTTAACTGGTGTAGTATAGCTCAGTATATCCCACATGTATAAGAAATTTTAGTATTATATTTTATATTATTTTATGGGATCTAATAAAGCAGAATTAAACTTGACATTTCCACATTAACCTTTAGAATTACCTAACTTTTAAAACTTAAACTTTCAGCTGTAGCGCTGTATTAATGTGCCACTAATTTTTGCATGGAATATTATATGGATTAACATAGCGCAGTTAATATTCTATTGCAAGGACCCTTCAGGGGAAGTTGAAAAAACCATGACACGGGAAGGCCATTTCAGCATGGAAGGTCTAGTTCAACATTTCTATTCAGTCATGCCTCTGCCTCTGATGGAAGAAAAGATTTTAAAACTGTAGCAATCAGAACTGCTGCTGCTTTATTTGAAGGGGCTACTGTTAAGAATGATGAGAAAAACAAAGCCCTTTAAAGTATATGTCTCTGTTCAGCACATCGACGTTTTTCCTAACTGAACACAGCAGATATATCCCCAGTTGTTTGTTATACTTGCATATCAATAACCTAGCAATCTGAAATACATGCTGAATGTATCTTCGCTTAGCCTCCAAGGTACAAATGATTCCATCCATGCCAATATGCTGTTACTTGTGAGATTTACTTCTAGGCTTACAAGAGGCTGACTCTTGTCAGGACATGGGAAGTAACTCGCCTACTTTTGTTAAAAGTTCCATGGGGTAATTCATGATCCTAAGTGGTCAGAGCCTAACAGGCTGCATCTCATTGCCCTCACCACTGTGGTGGGATATTGGTTTAGTGGTGAATCATGGAGAGCAATGCTACCGGCCTCACTTCCTGAAGCACTGGGATTTTTCAAGTCTTCCATCCAGGTTCCAACATTGCTTTTAGTCATATACCTCTGACAAGCTCACATCCCATGTAATATACTTGTAGGCTGTGCTTAATTTGTGCCAGGCCTTGCCAGGCCTGAGCCACAGCTCCCCCCTTGTCTTGGCAGTTCACACCCCGGGCACCTTTAGGCTTGCGGCATCACTTATGAGTATAAAAAAATAATTGCTTAATCCCCAGCATCTCTTTCATTACAAATTAAGCACTAACCATGAGGAGTCCTGGGCACTTTAAAGACAAACAGATTTATTGGGGTAAAAACCACTTTGTCAGATGGAGGAAGATAAGATAAGCAGGGTTTGCAGCTGCAGCGGTGTCTTACCCTTACCTCTGCCTTCCTGCGTGAGCTACATCATCACATATTATCTTTAACTAAGATGATTCCTGTAAACCTTGCTTTTGGAACAGAGAATTACAAGGATTAATGTAAAAGTGCAGTTTAGCGCCCATGTAAAAGATAATCTAAACACACATTCAGCCCATGGTTAATTTCTTTTTGGTTAATCTCTATGTGGAACCATAGGTGCTGGATCTAAACAGGGGCATCCGGTAGCCTAGGCGGGGGAAGGCACAGCCTTTCCAAACTGCCAGGCATGGTCCCACTCACACTCCACCCCCAGAACAACCACCGTATGCGTTCTCGGGGTGGAGTGTTGCTGCCCCCAGCGCCCTCCCTTCCTGTTCTCTGGGGCCGGGGAGGCTCAGGCCACATGACCTCCTCTCTCCCTGGTGCTCTGAGGCCAGGAACACTCGGGCCATGCACCCTCCTCCTTCCCTGGTGCTCTGGGGCCGGGGAGGCTGGGGCACACATGCCCTCACCCTTTTCTCTCTCTTCCCCTCCCCATGATGGGAGTGGGGGAGCGCTCGGCATGCTGCCCCACCTCCTCCTCTCCCTGTGGTGGGAGGTGGAACCTCAACCAAGGGGGCGAGGCCATAGGTGGGGCTGGTGGCATGTCTCCACCAGCCCTGGCTGCACAGACCGCCCATGACTAGTGGTGCTGGGGGTACTACAGCTCCCCCTGGTTTGAAGTGCTTTCCATTAGATACAGGGTTTGCAAATTTGGTTCAATGGCTCTCAGAATCCGCATACTAATTGTTCACATGCTATACTAATTGTTCTACCACTCCTGCCTGGAACAAAATAATTGAACATGGCACATTTCTGGGGGGAAAACACCCCTCTCAGTCTTTTAGCCTATGTATAGGAACCCAAAGCTTATCCTCTGTTTGATATAACATCTCCTCTTTGTGATGAGAAAGATACTAAATTGATAGACAGGCACAAAAAATCATAATGTTTTATGCACCCATTAAATTGCAGCGTAGCAACAAATCCCATGCCAAAGTTAGCTGAAGAACAGCAGCCACCCCATTATCATCCTACAAAATACAGTAATTACAGAAAACTGCTAAGTGTTAGAGTAAGTGCTGTATGTAGAGTCTCTGTAGCAAGATTTTCAATCCTGGTCTCATTTTAGCTCCATTTGGGTATCAATTCTACTGCTAATAAAATATTTTTAAAGGAGTTAATTAATTATGCAAAATTCAAAACACAAACAGCCCAGCTATATTATCAGAAACCTCAAGGCTACATTTCTATGGCCAGATTCCATGTTGTTGTTATTTTTTCTTGGTTACCATTAAAAGTAAAATTACACCACAACCAACCCAGCTGTGTGTTATTTATAGAGGCAGAATCATTATAAGGGTATGATTTTGCAAATGGCAGCAGCAGTGAGGTTTTTGCATTTTAAAACCAGCTAAGAAAGAAAAATATTTAATAAATTGCTTTCTATATTTCTCTTTCCTATCTGGGGAAATATAAACAGTTCCTTTTCTTTGACTGTGGCGACAAAATGCCTTCAAGAGCATTGCCAAAAAGAACATGGTTTATTATTCATTTTAAAGATCCTAATTATCCATCCTTTCCTATTAATCTCCAGAAAACAATGAGAAACTTTTCCTCCTATGGAACCTTTATTTTATATTTTGCTACACATTTATGGAGACAAGTGCTCAGCTGTGCTGTTCAGTGAGGGGAAAGGAGTGGGGGGAGAAGGATGGTACAGCTCCTCTTTCTGACCCTGTGATCAAAATAACCCCAATATAATTTAGAGCAGCCACAAAGCTACTATAAATTAAAGCAGGCTTAGCTGTAGCATTGGGCCCATTTTGAAAGTTCCTGCCTTGTGGTGAAGTCTTGACCATTCAAAAAAACATATATGCTCTCTCAGGAGTATTTGTATGACCATTCCAAAATCGGTAATGTCTGGCAGTATCCAAAGCAGGGAAATCACTCCAATCCTTGGTGGGATCTGGTTGTGGATTTTTAACAAGGAGCTCTTGAGAGCCACCTCTAGCACATTGATGATGCTGTAAATAAAGCTGCCTGTAAACTGAGAAAAAGGTGGGTGAGATCATATTTTTTACTGAATCTATTTCTATTGGGGAAAGAAAGGAGCATAGGTGATTATATAGGGCTCGTCTTCAGGCACTCTCTTGGATTTTCCTGACAAACCATTCCTTCAGGTCTCCTTGAGATTCTATTGATGTGGTTCAAGCTTCCTGACAATAATCCTCAGCTGCTTCTGCTTTTCCTAAGCAACAACAACAAGGACAGGCAGGTGGGGTGTTGTGGTGGAGTGAGGAGGGGAGTGAGAGCCGTCGATTCTTCTGTGGAAAGCAATAATGTTTCTGTTCCAAGTTAAGTGGAAGGGCTGCAAAGTGTAATCCAAACCAGAGCTTCACAAAGCTTCTTTCCAGCTCTCACTGTAGGACATGTTACTCCTAACCACAAAATGTTCATTTACATTCTGCTTAGCTGGTGCATGATGACTTAACAAGACTAAGACACCCCTTAGTACTGTTTTCAGGAATAAAGCTGGGATCCGATATACCTCAACCTTTCAGAGCAAAAAGCATGCCACTTAGAAATAAACCCTGACAGAAGCGGCTCGTGTCTCTTGCTACATAAGCTGGCACATGTTTGTATGGCTTGTGGGGACTCGATTCTACCTCCCTCTTTCATTTGGGCCCCATTCTGACAATTATCCATCTACTTTACTTTAAGCAACCTCGCAGTCCCAATTACTCACCCATGAGGTGAACAAAGTTATGCAGGCTCCGAAGTCTTTCCTGTGTGTGCCATGTAGTCATACGAATGATAACTTATTCCCAACGCAGTTTCACTAATTTTAAATGAAAATTCTTGAGTAATGCAATATTTCTCAATGTAAGTGTGGCAGAATCGAGCCTTTAACTTAAAAGACAAATTGTAGGTGGATTAAGAGACTTATATATCTCTTATGTCACTGGTGCACCTGAAGAAGTTTGAAACCACACTACCTTTCCAACATTTTATCCTTAGTCCCACAGAAAGCACCAAACCGGTGAAGAAGAATGATTTTATCATGTTTGATTAATTTCATTCCATGGGTTTTTCAGCAAAGTGATGTAGTTAGTATTAAGTACCAGAGGGGTAGCCATGTTAGTCTGAATCTACAAAAGTGATGAGGAGTCCTGTGGCACCTTATAGACTAACAGATTTATTGGAGCATAAGCTTTTGTGGGCAAAGACCCACTTCGTCAGATGCATCTGACGAAGTGAGTCTTTGCCCATGAAAGCTTATGATCCGATAAAATAGTTAGTATTGTTTTTAAAAAGAAGAGGTTTGGGGGAAAGAAAGAGGGAGATACCTACTTGTCCAAGAGTGCATTCCATGCCACCAAGAAAATCTGCATCTTTCAAGCCGTTGTGGTTGCTGCTAATGTCATGGACTTCAAACCGTAGCCGCTGAACCTCTTCAAAGTAGAAGTCCACCGTGAATAACTTGGAGAAGATTGGATTTATACAGGTTCGAATCACTTCTGTCCTGTCAACCTGCCCAATGCATAAATTAAAAAAAGAGATGATTTGCCTCAGCGTCTTTTTAGTCTCTAAGTAACAGCCTACAACACGAATGAAATTGAGAGCAAAAATAACAAACAAAATTGCACTCCACTTAAATGAATGAAAAATCTTTAAAGAGACAGTGTAGATACATTTTTTTAAATTTAAAGACAAGGTTTAATAAGCGAATTGGCTGTGCTTGCCAAGCTTCACTTGTGACTCAATGGCATTTCTCTGTTTGACAGTCAGACTGCCTGTCTTCTGTACCATAAGAACTTGTGAACATTACATCTAATCAAACTCTGGCATGAAGGGAGCAGGAGCACACAGAACCCCTAGTGAGTGGGAGGACATTGGGGGACCCTCATATAGGGACACACAGAGCCCCTACTACTGGGGCACAGATGAGTATATTGTTGGGCATACGGGAAGTGAGAATGAAGAGTCACGAAGAGCCACTGGCACAGGGAAAAGAATGGGGGAGGGGTCCAGGTATGGGAGACAGGGGGAATGGAGGACAGATAGGATTTCCTGCCACAGGGAGACGGGTTGCATGGGGTCCTTTAACTAGAGGGGGATGGAAAAGAGGCCCACAGGGAGCTTCTGGGGAAGATGGAGGGATGCAAGGAACTCTGGGTGAATGCAATACACTCAGCCTACACAAGCTACAAAGTGTACAACCCCCTAGTATTGCAGCGTTCTCAGGTGAAAATGGGAGTGAGGAAGATGTAAGAAATCTCCAATGTTCTTGGAAACCCAAAGGCAATGTCACATTACCATTTATTATTTCTGTTTTTATAAGACAGTTTCCAACAATGAATGAGGGGCCTATTGAACTAGGCATAGTTGCAGGAAACAATACTAAGCCAGTGCGAAAGAGCTCGCAGTTTAAGCTCTAGGCACTACTCACTCAGTGAGGGTATGTCTACACTGCATGGCTATTTCAGTAGTCTTCCGGTATCCCAAAATAGCTACCCCACATCTACACAATCCACCTGTTATTTCAAAATATTTTTTGAAATAATGGGCGCACTATTTTGCCATCCCAGTAAACCTGGTTGCACAAGGGTTAAGGGATGGCTTGAAATAGTGCATTATTTCAAAATCTGTCACTGTGTAGATGCACCAAATTTCAAAATAAGCTATTTCGAAATGGTTTCAAAATAAGATATGCCATTTGCATAGCACAAAGTACCTATCTTATTTTGAGTTTAGGGTGCTGTGGAGACACACCCTGAGAGAATAAATAAAGGAAAAGGGAAAGGAGGACAAGGTAATGGTAGAGAAAGATGCATGCATCTGTAAGTAGTCACAGTGCTCTCAAGTATCAAACTCAGTAATGCATGAGAACATGAAACTGACTGGCTACAGTAAGTGGAAGAGAGCCCTGCGTGATTAATGAAATGCAAAGAATAAACAAACAGCACAAACAATGAAAAGTAAGTTAGAGTGTATACTCTATAAACACCTTCACTGCAACTCCATTGAGACTAATGAAGTTCCACCCAAGATGAAACTGGCTTTTTTATCCTCAGGTTGGGACTTTCAAAAATGTATCATTTTAATCTTTGCAGTGTTCCTTTAACCTTGAACTTTGTAATGTCACTGGGTGGCTTTATATTCACAGGCTTTTGTAAAGAATAAAAAGAAGGGGGACTTAGTCGAATGGGATGTTATCACCTTTGCCCATTTCTTCTTATCTTTGTGCTCTCCTGTAACAAAGATAATACAAACAATGCTGACTGCTGCGCTTCACTAACCACAGTGTAACTATTAACCTTCTCTATCACGCACACAGATGGGCAAAATTAAACACTCAGTCTCAACAGAGAGGCCATGGGCTGTAAAGATACATATAGAACCTTAGAGCAGGGTTGGGTAATAAGCAGCCTGTGGGCCAGACCTGGTTCACCAGGGTTTGTTGTGGGTAGGCCTCTAGAAGCATCCGCAAGTACTGCCACTCACAGCTCCCATTGGCCATGGTTTGCCATTTCTGGCCAATGGAGCTGCGGGAAGTGGTGTGGGAGGGCCAAGAGGAGTTGGGGGCAGTAGTATCTGAGGATAGCTGGTAAAAAAGTGCTGGAGGCCCACCAGTAGCAATCCCTGGCAAACTGAATCCTGCCCATGGGCCACTTATTGGCCACCCCGACCTAGAGACTAGGCATCGCAGAAGTAGCCACTTCAGACCAGACTGGGAATATTGGTGAAGAAGACACTGCTGCTATCTAGATCAACTGCTCTATAGATAGCTAAAGGATTTCCGTTTCCAGTGCCATTAGTTTAGCATTTGCAAAGTATTAAAGTCACATTGTAAAACTGAATACGTGGGGAGGGGGGAAGGGAGTTTTTAGAGGCAGTCACCTGGAATTACTTGCATGAATAAGGAAGTGAATTACTTGCTGGAGAAGCTGGCTCTTGGAGAGTAATATTAAAAAAATGTATATATGTTTTTCTCACTAAGTCACATATTGACTCATCCCTCTGCCCCAGTCTCTAAAATTGTGCAAGAAACTCTATCAGATCAAAATGTATTGCTGTGTTTTTGTAAGAGAGCTCAGAAAATACTTTCCACATACCTACAATTACAGTAGCTTGGGTTACACTGTACTGCATATTTTTCACAGTGTTATTAGTAGGATGTGATTATATCATAATTACGATGCATTTTATGCAAGATAAGACATGTGAGGTGTCACTGGAAAGGTTATGGTTTCCTGAATATGATTATCCCATTTTATGCATGTATCATTTTTGTATCTGATATTATGAATATTAACTATGTACCTATTCTGAATGTAACTATTCTGGGCAATGCTCACTAGACAAAATTCTCTCAGGCCATATGGGTGGCTAGGAAGAACCCATTCAGGGCAATGAGCTATCAGAAAGAAACAACAGGCCTTAGGAGAAACTTATCTCCCATCTTGTGAGCCTTCCTATGAACGCTCCAAACAGCCAGTAGAGGGATACTGCTGTGACTGAACAGGCACTTGTGACCAGGTCACCTGGTGCTCGATTCCATCTTGGGATGGAAACAAATTTTTGCACTGACTGGCCTGGAAACCACACTTGGAAACAAATGGTTGCCACCAAATGCGAAAGCTTTATAAGGCAGGAGAGTAACGTCATTGTGGTTCTTTGCTGATTTCACAACCAAGGATACTCCTGGAAAGACTGGAGGAATAAAGACTGAACTAGGGAAAATGCTGGAACCAGACTAATGGGATTTTTAGCCTGTGAATGCAACACCTGGGGAATTCCAAGCTATGAGCAAGTGCAGCTTGCTCCTTAAGAATCTGCAGCCTGCTAATATCACTTAGGGTGAGACTGCTATTCATATTCAATCTATTTAGTATATTAAACTTAGTTTGTGTTTTTTATTTGCTGGGTAATCCACTTTGATTTGTTTGCTATCCTTTATAACCACTTAAATGTCTATCTCTTAAGGAAGAGTGATGGCTTCCTTTCTATAATCCTTGGTGAATAACATTTGTAGTGGCCAAAAAGCCAACAGATTGCTTAATCTCTTGGCAGAGGTGAACGTAAGCTGGTGTGCTCCACTGTGGTGCTCCAGCAAGAAACTGGCCAGCTGGCTACTTAGCTGCAGGGAGAGGAGAGGGCCACTCCCAGCCCACCTCCCTGGGCTTCATGCAGGCTGCCACGCTTGAAGCAGGCAGCCTAGCAAGTTAGGGTGTGTCTATACTGCAGCATTTTCCCAGAAAAACGGCCATTTTCCCAGAAAAACAATACACGTGTCCACACTGCTATTCCACTCTTTCGACAAAAAGTCGAAAGAACGGAGGGGTTTTTCCAATGGAAGTAAACCTTTTTTTATGCGGAAGAAGCCTTTTTCCAAAAAAGGCCTGTGTGGATGCAGAAGAGGGAGTTCTTTCAAAAGAAGAGGCCTCCAGGAAATAACACAGGTGCCCTGGTGGCCACTCAATCCAAACTATTCAGAACTCTATAGTTCCTATCTCCTGCCAGCTCTTAAAGCTGCAGGCACCCGGGACAAGCCTTGTGGCAGGAAGCCGGCCCAGACAGCTGCACCTGATGGCATAGCTCTCCCTGCCACACAAATTGGGAACCATGGCCCAGCCAACCCCCTTCCCTCCCTCCCAAGATGTCCCTGGCCCTCACAGGGAGCATGACAAGGGCTCCCAGGACCCAGCCAGCAGCACCAAAAGGTAGGCATCATCATGGTCCGGGGCAGAGACTCTGTCCCTCCTGGAGGTGTGGGATGAAGAAGAGACCCTGTAGGATCTCCGCCCTCAGAGGCGCAACGCTGATATCTACAGCCGGATGGCCAAGACTCTGGCCGCAAGAAGCCACCACCCCCGATCTTGGAACAAGTGAGGAGCAAGGCACCACCTGCTCCTGCAGATAGCTTTGCCAGGCGCATGTGTGTGTGTGAGCTCCGTAGAAGGCCAGACTGCTCCAGGCCCCTCTCCTTCCCATGGGATCTCAGTGTGGCCAGACACTTTCCTTGCCTGCTTGTCTGTGGGATGGGGGGGAAGAGGGAGCAGGAAGCATGGTCCCTTGGGCACCTTGGGGCCCCTGTGAGGCAGGGCCCACTGTGCAGGCCACACATGGGCTTGCTCCTGAGACTTCCCCATCCTCTGGCCCGAGGACTGTTGCTCGCTGCTCGCAGAGGCGGGCACGGCCTCAGGGACAGTGTCTGCAAGGATGACTAACCACCTCTCCCTCTTTATTTCTCCACAGCCGGTCCAGCCATCACGGAGGGGCAACCACTGCTATCCAAGGCAGCCACCCAACGTCGGGGGAGCTGCAAGTGCAGGAGGGTCTAGGACCTCATGAGACAACACTGCTTAACAAGCTGTCCATTTCAAAGAATCTCTCTCATAAGGATGTAAGACATCTACAGCCAGTATCAAAGAATCTTTTAGGATCTCTCACTCATCAGCATTATTATGCTGCCACAGAGAGGTGAGGAAATAGTGCCCTTTCTCATCCTTTGTGTCATGCAGAAAGGA